TCGTGGTTCTCTCTCATCATTGGGGTTCCCCCCACTCTCCCTTCCTCTCTGAAATCAATAAAAAGGTGTTTTTTAAAAGCACATCTAGGGGCTGGGGAGAGGAGTGGGGAGTTAGTGCTCAGGGAGCACGGGGGGTGAGTTGGGAAGATGAAGTTCCGGAGACAACGGGGGGCCAGATGCACACCAATGCGAACGGACTCGATGCCACAGACCTGGACACCTAAAGCTGGTCAAAATGGCCGGTTCTAGGCTCCATAGGTTTTTCCACAATAAAACATTCCCATTGGATCAATGGAGAAGAGGCTGGGATTTCAGACCACCACGGTGTAATTCCCCCAATGCCCGCAAGGGGGCACTGCCGACCCACCGTCTTCATCCCGCCACGCGGCCCGGCAGGTCACCGGGTTTTACACAGACTGTGTTCCGCTCCAGCGGTTGGTTGTTTCTGGCCGGGGCAGCCGTGATGGGCTCAAAGGTCTAGAGACTAAAAGCCAAGTTGCCGCAATAAACCGAACCGTGTGCAAACAGGGACTTACGTGGTCGTCGTAAATGGTCAGCGCGGCCTCATACTCGCCCTGGAAAAGCGAAGTTCCCGTGGTTACTGCCGGGAGGGTGAGGGGTGATCGGAGGAGTGAACGGGGAACGCGCCATGCCGAGGCCCCCGCGCTACGGAGGGGTGGGCGCGCCTGGTGCGGACCTGGGGATGGGAGCCCCGGCCGCCTCTGCCCTGGCCTGCGCATCCGGTCACGGGAGACGGACGCGGCCTCGCTGCTAAGGGGACGCTTGTCACAGCACATTCTTCCTATAAGCGCTTGTCCACCTGCGGCCAGCTCCCTCCTGTACCCCCTCCTCTCCTCTCTGCGCTCCTCCCTGCACACACGGCTGCGATCCCCGCTCCCGCTGGGCAGCGTGTCACCGCGGTCTGCGTGTCCCTGCACGGTCCCGTCTCCCCAGCACTCCTCTTCGGGCACTTAGGGGGCGTCCACAGTCTCTCTGAGAAGCAGCTTAGAGTGGAGCCAGGGGCAGAACCAGATGGGACCAGGCATCCCCCCACCTGGCTCCCCTGGGGCAACGCATCGGGAGCATCCTGGGCTCAGCAGGCCACCCAGCAGCAGGGACACTTGGTCTGAGGTGTGGCGCAGGCTGCACAGGCACGGCTGGTCTCCAAGTGCAGGCGGTGCCGGGCCGGAGGTGGTTCAGGCCCGAAAAGCTATCGAAACCACGCAGCCTCTCCCACATCGGGACACCCCTTAAAGGCGCGCGCACAGCCCGGCCGGCTTGGCTCTGTGGGGAGGGATCGGCCCGTGGACCGAAGAGTCTCGGGTTCAATTCCCGTCCAGAGCATGTACCTTGGTCACAGGCTCCATCCCCAGCCCCGGTCGGTGCAAATGGAAGGCAGCCGATCGAGGTGTCTCTCTCACATCGATGTGTCTCCCTCTCCCCCCTCCTTCCTCCCTTCCACTCTCAAAAAAAAAAAAAATCAATGGGAAAAATATCCTTGGGTGAGGATAATAAATAAATGTGCAAACACACAGTAGGGCTCCGCGGGACGTGAGGCAGCGAAGGGCGGAAAAGCGTGTCTCTCTCCGGACAGGTTCACGGGAAACACGCCAGGCGTCTTACCTTTTCAATCAGGTACAAAGCCCAGTGCCAGTAATTGTGACAAGCAAGCATGTCCGAGCCCTGGGGAGAGAGCAGAGAATCGGAAACACCCCCAGCCCCTGGGAGAAAGGCCCGGATGTTGGCTTCTGCAGACCCCACACCCTGGAGTGTGGGAACACTTCCCGGGCGCCCCTCAGAGGCCGGTCTGAGCCCGCGTTCCCACGCCACCTCCTTCAGCACCAGGGATGGCGGGTCGATGCCTGCGCTTGAGCCTGAGGCTGGGGAGCCGGCCACGGGTCAGCCCGAGCGAGGAAGCAGAGAAGCAGGAGTCACTCAGCTCCTCACCCACCTGCCTTGTGTGTGGGGTGAAGTGAACAGGAAATCACCCAGCACAGGGCCCGCCGTGTCCACCCAGCGCAGGGCCCACCGTGTCCACCCAGCGCAGGGCCCACCGTGTCCACCCAGCACTGGGCCCACCGTGTCCACCTGCACAGGGCCCACCGTGTCCACCCAGCACAGGGCCCACCGTGTCCACCTGTGCAGGGCACCTGACGAAGCCGCCAGGGCCAGGGAGCTGGGGAACTCCTGCAGGGATGGGTGAGCCCTCAGCAGGGGGCGCAGGCGGACGCCTGGACGCCAGTCCTTCCTTCTACCGCCTGCCCTGCCGTGCAGCAGCCGCCTCCTCGCGGGCACCACCTCCGTCCCCTGGAAGGGAAGGA